GTGTGTGTGTGTGTGTGTGTGTGTGTGTGTGTGTGTGTGTGTGTGTGTGGAGCTCTCCCTTATCAGCCGCTGTAGAGAAGCCCTGAAGGAAGGCTCTGAATCCATGGTTGTTCATGTACAGAAGTCTGGTTTGGCTCCCAGGTGGGAATGTATTTAACATAAAGAATTAAATGAATGTTTCTCAGTTTCTCCCTTGAAAAGTGAGTTCTCTTCCCCTGGTAAACTAATACAATCAAAAGAAGAAATACACATTAAAGGATTGTATTTTAACATCCTCACAAATGGTGAAAAAACAAGGACAGAGTCCAAACACTTGCTGTAAAACGAGCGATGTTAATTTCTTCCTGACCGGAGCCATATGTGGTGCTGCCAATGTCGAGCGTCTCTGAAGCCGAAGTGAAAGGAGCACGATCATTTTCTACATCCATGCAAAACCTTTTTGCCAGGGTTGGTGCGGCGCTCACTGCCTGACAGAGTCTCAGGAGGTGGATGTTGACATCACGTCTCCGACAGTCAATGATATCAAAGTTTTACTAAATGTAACCAAGCATTAACCACTGAGGGGACGGATCAGAAAACGGGTCGTTTTTAAAGCCCTCAAATGGGCCGTAGTTAAATGTTCAAGTCAGTTTCGGGTTGAGGACCTATTGGAGCTGTTATATGTTGACACAGATTGTTTTAGAAGAAGAGTCAAACTGTTAATATAAAAACAATACTGAGGAATAAGATCAGATAGAATGAGATGAGACCTTTCCCCCTCCCTGGGACATTAAAGGTTACAGCAGCACAAAGGGGAGACAGACAGGAGGCAGCAACAGGAGATATAAAAAGAAGATAACATACCGAGACATACCAAAACCAAATGTTCATAAATATGCAAAAACAAGAATGCAGATAAGTGTATTGATCATGTAGATAATACATGCATAAGTATATATCTATGTGAATATATAAAAACCATGAATAAATATATAGATAATAGTATGAAATAATAATAATAATAATGACGTCGACAGATTTAAAATTGAAAAAAGAACCAAACAAAGTCCTTCACATTAAACTGATGACGTTTCTCTTAAGGTGGTCACATGACAGCATGGGTGCTGAGGCTGCTCCCTGTGGAGACGATGTGTTGAGCTACAGCACCAATTAACCTGCAGCGTCGTTGTCTTTGCTGCGGTTCAATAAATCAATCGTACGGTGAAATGCAACCCTGCAGCGTTGAGTTATTCCAGATGAAACTCCATGAATCACTTCACCAGTCAGCCCTCGCCATTACCTCATCACGGGCAGCAAGATGACGTCATAAATAGTAAAACGTGGGTTAATCTGTCATTTCTGTAAATGCAGAATTAAAAACTATAAATGTAATAATTGTTGATTGTTTCCTCATAATAAATAACTCATAATGTTAAGCTTAAATGATGAGCTTATTAACAGAGAAACTAGATAAAACTGTAAATTTACAGTTAATATTTTGATAATGGATTAATCCATGAAGCCGGACATTGATACCCAATGTTATAGGAAGTATCCAGATCCTTTACTCGCATACACATATCAGTACTCAGAGTACTGCAATATATATAAAGGCTGAATACAAGTACCAAAGTGCTCGGATTCACCAAAGCGACAGATGGAAACATGGCGGCTATCACTTTAAATCTAGAGCGCTGCATGTTTCATAAACTCATTACTTCAATCTGTAAAGTTACAAACAAACAAATGTGAAAAGAAGTACGATCACTAGTGAATACGATCACTAGTCACAGCGCTATTAACCCCTGAGGGTGTGGAGAGCCCTTAAAACACACACACACACACACACACACAACGGACAGGTTGAATTTACTATGGATCCTGCCAGCTAATGACCCTGACCTACTTACACATTCTGTGTGTGTGTGTGAGTGTGTGTGTGTGTGTGTGTGTGTGTGTGTGTGTGTGTGTGTGTGTG